CTGAAGAAATTATTTTTATTTTTATTTTTATTTTCTCCTTTTATGCTAGTGCACTTGATGTAATTGTTTATGGCCGGATCTTAATAGCCCTTGATATTATAGATTGGTAATTTGTTTCTTCAAATTTATATAATTTTTAGTGCATTAATTCAGGGGGAGACTCATATATTTTGATATTAACAATCATTATAAAAATATATATATAAAAAAAAGGGCGTGTGTATATTCTGTGCATAATTTTAGGGGGAGTATATATACATATATTTTTTTAACTTCTTATCTTCCATACTCCTTATCTGCACCAACAAACAAATTTATTTTTTTGTGCAAAGACAGAATTAAAAAAAAAATTAATAATAAAAATAAATAAATAAATAAGAAAGAAATGCTCGAAATTTTATTTCAGAAAAAGAAAATATTACTCGATTACATGTAAATATTCAGAAGGCTTCACAGATTTTTTCTTTTTCACTTCTCTCAACAACTTTTCATGAGCCTCTTTTACATGTCTCTCTCTATTTTCGATTTCTGTGAGTCTTGGCATTATCACCGTTGCGTAATAATGCACTGCATTCTCCAACTGTGCATTTTTCCTTTTTAGCTCTTTCTTCTCCTTACACATATTCACTACTTGTTGTTTTAACAAGCACACCTCATCTCTCCATTGCTGATTTTCTTGTACTCTTGCTTGTAATCGTCGCACCATATTAGAAACTGCAGTCATGACCTGTATACTAAGAGTCATAGTGTTATTAATAACATCGAAATCATTTCGATTGCCAATCCCACTAGAACCCTCATTTACAGGCATAGCATGTGCCTGCGTCACTGGTACTCTCTCATTTGCCTACATTACAGGCACCTCATGCAGGTCTGACTCATTAATAGGCAAGGTAAGGAATGACATGATTACAAAAGAAGCTAAAACAATTTTTTCTCTCAAACACTTGATGATTTCGTATCTTTGCCTCTGATCTGTGTCACTTTTTATACACTCCATTGATCCATTACTCGATGCATATATGTTATATCTGCTCAAATATTTTGTTTGTCAATATTTCCTGCGCTCGAGATGCTCCAAAATCTCCATACTGATTCCGACAAGACAGACGGCCCATTATTTTATTTTTGGCCACTCTGATTATTGTATCAAATGTGCTTGCTTCTTATCTTCATCTTTATTTTGATGATGTTAAAGGGAGAGAAAAAATATGATTTTAAAAATTATGTGATTTTGAAAATTATATGTTGATTTTTGATGATTTTAAAATTATATGATTTTAAATATGATTTTAAAAATTATATGTTGCAGGGTTATCAAATATGATTTTTGATGATTTTAAAATTATATGATTTTAAATATGATTTTAAAAATTATATGTTGCAGGGTTATCAAATATGATTTTTGATGATTTTAAAATTATATGATTTTAAATATGATTTTAAAAATTATATGTTGCAGGGTTATCAAATATGATTTTTGATGATTTTAAAATTATATGATTTTAAATATGATTTTAAAAATTATATGTTGCAGGGTTATCAAATATGATTTTTGATGATTTTAAAATTATTGATCACTATTCACTTTTTGACAAAATTAAAATTGATTAAAATGATTGATTGGTTGTATTATCTTGACAAATATGATATTAATGAGTTGTCTTCTTTTGACAAAAGTGATATATCCAAATGTGTAGTGGTAAGATATATTTTGTTTAAAATCTCTACAACTTATACAATATTTTAAAGAGGACATATATTTTCAGATCCATCATAAATATTATTAAAGAGATTTTTTTTGTATGCAAATATTTGATTAGACCATTATATATATAATGCATGTAATATAAATAAAATACATCATGTGCGTTATTAAACTTTTTACACTACATTGATTATATCATATTACACTATACTAAATTGATTATATCATGTTATAATTAAACAAGAAGAAAAAGATGAAGTTATATATATATATATATATATAGATGGAGCAAATCATATGTTTGTTTTAAAGTTGTGAATTTTGTATTAAATTATCTACAAAAACGACGGCTCCATGTTTAATAAAAAATAAACAAAAGGAAAAAAAAATTAGTCTTACTTTTATCTTTTTAATTATTAACATTTGCTGACTATTTAAAATTAAGGAGCGTGCTTATATAAGTCATAACATCAGGAGTGTGCTTATGTAAGCCATGACATCAGGAGCGTGCTTATGTAAGTCATGACGTCAGGAGCGTGCTTATGTAAGCCATGACGTCAGCAAGGAGCATCCAACGGGTATATTTTTGTATATAAATAGAAGTGTTGTGTGTGAAGAAAAACATCAAGAACTTGAAGAGAAAAATTTTCTGTGAGCTCCAAAATTCTGAGTATTCTGTTCTTTCACTTTCAGATCTAAGTCTAGCCTTTGTTCTTACACTTTCATATCTACTCTTTGTGAGAGAATCATTGTAAAAGTGGGTTCAAGTACCACTTATTCTTATTCCTTATTTTTGTGAGAGATTTTGTAAGGGTAAGACATTTATTGTTGAGTGAGACTTAAGAGATAAGAGTAAGTCCTGTGCCAAATCCACAAGTTTGGTGGTGTATTTATTCAATTGATAGTAAAGAAATTCTCAAGGAGGTTTCTTGGGGAGTGGACGTAGGCCTGGCGTGCCGAACCACTTTAAATCGCAATGTTTGATTTTCTCTCCCTATCTCTCCTACTTTTATATTGATAATTATTTTTATTTTTTTATTTATTTAAATTCTGAATATTGTGTTATTTTTAATATTGTAAAATTTTTAATTACTTAATTCACCCCTCTTGAATTGCCTAACTGAGATAACAGAAATAATCTAAATGAGATTTTAATAAAGTGAACACAGTCTAAGCGTGAATTACTTTCTTTGTTTTACCCTCCTGACGGACATTCTGCTCTCAAATTACTGAATAATTTTCATGTGCTGCTGTAAACTTTCAAAAACTTCTCTTTCGAACTTAGACCTCCTCTTATCGTCATGCCTTTGAAGGTGGGTTGGAACCCAACTGTCAATCAACAGAGAACACATCATCTGTAGGTCTATCTTATCCTCTAATCACGCTGTCCACCAATCTCAAATTTCATAGAACTAACATTAAAACTTGGACGTTATTCAATACCACCAAATGATATTTATACAGTATTTTTAATGAATAATGCTTGGGACCCCTTTTGGGGGTCACCCCTCACCCCTTTTGTCACGTGTTGGGTGGTGATTGGAGGAGCAGGAAAAAAAAGAAAAAGAAAAAGAAAATGTAACCAATGGGAGAGAGAGGGGGTCAAAGGGGTGGGGGAAAAGGGGGATGAATCATTGTTGATTTTTAATTACTAAAAAGCCTATAAGAGCCTCCTCAATAATTTTTTTTAATTAAATTTGAGTAAAAATTTAAATTAAAATTTTCATCTGATATCAAGCATTCAAATACTAAATTTTTAATTTTCATCAAACAACGTGGATCAGGAGGTTGATTGGGCAGCCGTCCCGTCCTGTCTAGTGTAAATTTTCTTCAAATATTTTTTAATCTGATCGTTCACCCAATACCCGGTTGACTGGCCAGTCATTCATCCAGCCGTCCATCAATAGTCACCTGCGAAATTTGATAAAAAATTAAAAATTCCTTTAATTTGATAAAAAAAAAATAAGGTTGTATATGGTAGGACTTTCTAAATATGATTTGAGAGTAAGAGTTGTATTTTGAGTTTGTGAGTTTTGGAATTATAATTTGAGTGTGGAAAATTTGTTTGGTGAGAGAGTTTTGAATTAAGTAGGGAATTTTTGATATAACATATGATATTTGATACAAAAACTTACAACTAATAACCAAACATACAATTCAAAATTTTATTAAAGTACATAAAAAAAAATTTAAAAATTCAAAAAATATTTTTTTTGAATATATAAAAATTAACATATGTCAATTGCAAAAAAATATATATATTTGCACTGTTCCGATCAACTAGCCGGACGATCGGTTAGTTCAAATTTTTTCACATTGAATTGAGTTTAAAAAATGAGCGTGGAATTATGATTTAAAACTCCTACACAAACGTGAAACGCGAATGATATAGTAGAATTGTGTTTTGAGAATACAATCAAACAGAGCTTGAGATTCTCTTCATTTAATATCAATTTAGTGGAACGATTTGCATACGGAATTTAAATTTAATAAAAAATTTAAGTCAGATTTGAAAATGGTATAAAATTCGATTTGTATTGTGAATGTATTGATTAGGGATTTTGTGAACAAAGGGCTTTTTGGTCTTTTTGCAAGAAAAAGCAAGGGTCACATGGTCATTATCTATTGGATACTAACGTCGTTTGGGCAAAATAGACGGAATGGGGGAAACTTGACAATGTCAGGTAAAGTAGGGGGTGTTACTGTAATTATTCAAACCACAGGAGAGGTCCCTGTATTTGTCAGAAACCTCAGGGGAGGTAAATGTAATTTACCCAAAAATTAAAAGTTCCTTTAATTTGATAAAAAAAAAATAAGGTTGTGTATGGTAGAACTTTCTAAATATGATTTGAGAGTAAGAGTTGTATTTTGAGTTTGTGAGTTTTGGAATTATAATTTGAGTATGGAAAAATTTGTTTGGTGAGAGAGTTTTGAATTGAGTAGGAAATTTTTGATATAACATATGATATTTGATACAAAAACTTACAACTAATAACCAAACATACAACTCAAAATTTTATTAAAGCACATAAAAAAAATTTTAAAAATTCAAAAAATATTTTTTTTGAATATATAAAAATTAACCTATGTCAATTGTAAAAAAATATATATATTTGTACTGTTCCGGTCAACTAGCCGGACGATCGATTAGTTCAAATTTTTTCACATTAAACTAAGTTTCAAAAATGAGCGTGGAATTATGATTCGAAACTCCTACACAAACGTGAAACGCGAATGATATAGTAGAATTGTGTTTTGAGAATACAATCGAACAGAGCTTGAGATTCTCTTCATTTAATATCAATTTAGTGGAACGATTTGCATACGGAATTTAAATTGAATAAAAAATTGAAGTCAGATTTGAAAATGGTATAACATACATAATAATAATCCTTACCAGTAGGTGCTAACCCGCTTCTTTCACTTGGGTTGAGATCAATTCTCAGTTGAGAGAAACTGTTTCTTCCCTCGAGACTCTGATAGAAAACGATGACAACAAAAGCTGGTGATGGTGGTGAGATCTTCGTGGTTACATCTCTCGGGTCGGGTCACCTCTTCCCTTGCATCGAGCTCTGCAAACGCATCTCCTCCCGAAATTACATAACTACCCTCGTTCTCCCTTCCAACCTCCTACCCTCCCTCCCTTCCTCCTTCCACCACCACCCACTCCTCCGCATCGCCCAGATCTCCTCTTTCCAATTCGGCCCACCCACTTCCCACCCAGACCCGGCCCGCCACCAAGCAGGTCTGGACCTCCAAACCCACCTCTCCGCCGCCCATCGCCGCCCTCTCTGCGCCGTCGTCGACTTCCAGGTCGGCTGGACCACCCCCATCTTCTCCACCTTCAACGTCCCCGTCGTCAGCTTCTTCACCTTCGGCGCCTCCGCCGCCGCCATGGAGTGGGGCGCCTGGAAGTCCGACGCCGGAACCCTAACCCCCGGCGAGTCCCGCACCATCCCCGGCCTCCCGGAGGCGATGTCGATAAAGTACAACGACCTCAAGCTCCGCCGAGGCGGGGGGTCGAAGCCCGGCCACCCGCCGCCGTGGGTGGCGGCGATTGAGGGCTCGATTGGGTTGATGTTCAACACGTGTGATGATCTGGAGCGTCCGTTTCTTGATTACTTAACCAATCAGATTGGGCTGCCTGTATGGGGTGTGGGCCCACTATTGCCTGATCAGTACTGGAACTCACCGTCCGGTTCACTCATTCGTGACGGTGCGATTCGGCAGACGAAGCGCGAGACTAACTGTACGGAGGACGAGGTGATCCAATGGCTGGATTCGAAGCCACGTGGGTCTGTACTCTACGTGTCGTTTGGGAGTGAAACGGGTCCTACGATGGAGGAATACCCGAAACTGGCTGGTGCTTTGGAAGATTCAACTCACCCATTTATTTGGGTCATACAACCCAGTTCTGGTTTGCCCAAATTTCCCGGAGAAGGGCAAGTTGTGTCGGGTGGGTCAGAAGGTTACTTCCCTCATGGGTTGGCTAGCAAAGTTGGTGACAGAGGTATGATTATAAAGGGATGGGCACCACAATTGTTGATACTGAGCCATCGATCGACCGGTGGGTTTTTATCGCATTGTGGGTGGAATTCGACAGCGGAGGCGATTGGACGGGGAGTACCATTTTTGGCATGGCCCATGAGGGGTGACCAAATTTACAATGCTAAGCTAGTGGTGAACCATCTCAAGATTGGGTGCATGGCATTCAGAGAAGACTCGTCGGACGTTGTTAAAAATGACATATTAGAGGGTATAGACAAGCTTATGGGTGACCGAGAAATTCACAAGCGAGCAGAGGCAATTAGTGCAAAATTCGAGTGTGGTTTTCCAGCAAGTTCTGAAGCGGCTTTGGATGCTTTTAGGGATTTCATTAATCAAAAAACAACGTAATCTTGAATTAAATGTTTAATTTTTATTTGAAATGAAATGACGTGTAATTTATTCTATTAAATAATTATATCTTGTTGTAAGATCCATGTATAACTCTAGATAAGGTGTTAACTTGGCTATATGTTGCGTCGCACATAAATATTTTAACAATGCTAGATAATTTAAAATTTTGTGGTTCAAATGGCTTAAAATGATATCAAAATTTGAGTATAAAATAACGTCGTTTTGACAAATTTAAATTATTTGAGCCACAAAATTTTAAACTATCAAACATTTTTCTAAATATTTACATCAGGGAACTTTGCATTTTTTCTCAAGTTATCAATCAATTTTTTTTATTTGTCTTCATATGTTTTTGTTTAGATTTATCAATTTCTGCCTTTATAGAAATGAATTTTTTTAAATTTGAAAACTCGACTAAAATCAAATGTGACTTAACATTTTATCTTACATTCCGTTTATTTTGACAATTTTTTTTTTTAATTTTAAAAAACATTTATTACCCTGTCACTTAAAACTTTGGATCCAAACCCCATGTAAATAAAATCTCCCATGAGCGGTGTGTGAGCTTCCTTGAATTTATAACCACCTAGAATGGATTGAAGCTGACTTATGTTAATTCACAAATCCACAATGATTCATCCCACTAAAAACACCACCACTAATAGCATTAATACATTAAAAAAATAAAAAATAATAAAAAAAAACACAACTCCAAGACCAAAACATCACATCATTAATAGCGAGACCTACTGCCACCTAATTAGTGGGAGCACTACTCCCAAGCATTTTTCATTCACAAATATTTGAGTTGCTCTTGGACATACGCATTCATAATTAATTTTTTTTTTTTTTTTTTTTTTTTTTTTTTTTTTTGCGCATGTGATATATATGTTGAATTAAACCCTTCTTTCTCAACTCGCAATGAAAAACATTTCAACTTGTAGTTTTGTTATTTTATTTTAGGTAAGGTAATTGATAGTTACGAAAAAGAGAATGAGAAGTTGTATAATTCAGTGATAAGATTCAAAATCAGGTATGATGCTTGATAATAAAAAAAATAAAAAATAAAAACAATGGCTTATTACATCAATGGTCATCCAAGCTTCCTTAAAGTTTCAGTTTGGTCTTTATATTTTAAAGAAAAATGATATATAAGTCTACTTTTTAAATACAGTAATGTGTCAAAAAGACGATAAATGAATAATTAGAGAATATTTAATATCAACCAATTATCCTCTTAACACATCATTGGTATAGAAAGTGGGTCTAATTTTTAAACTTGAATAGCAATACTCTACTTTGAATTTCATCAATTGGGTCCTTAAACATTTTTATTTGTTCTAGTTTGATTCTTACAACCTTTCTAAGATTTTGTTTATTATACTCTTGCCCCTTAACGTTTTGTTGTATGATTATTATTTTTTTAACAAAATCTGTCATTACAATTATTGGTTTATAATTTTAAGAATAGATCTATTTATTATTATATTTTTAAATTGTTTGGTTTTAGGCCCATTATTATTCCAAATGCAAACTAATTTATTAATAAATCTTGTAAAATTCTTTTTTGGAATTCTGCACATGCCTTCTCTAAGGCTATTTGCCCTTACTGCTAGCAATTCTCTGGCTATAAGTTATTATACTTTGTTCAGCATGCAATAGATAAAAATAAAATTTAATTTATTTAACTGATTTTCTAATCATGAAATATATGCTAAACTACTATCTATTTTAGATCTTATTTTTGCAATTAAAAGCATATGAAGGATTGAAACAAAATTAACCTAACATTATAAGGCTTGATACATTAACTACTAAATAAGTATGGCGTTTCAGTAATTAATCAAACTTTTGGGCTAATGAGTTATTTATATTTTAGGCTTAGAGACTAAAATTGATTTGAAATTGAAATTTGAGATTAATGTGCGAAATTTGAGGGATTATGGTTATAATGTACCCAAAAAAATACTTCATCCTTTAACAGCATGTTTGTTTTGAGGGATAAGGGCATGGGATTGGACTAATAGTCCATTGTTTGTTTGTAAAATTTTGCTCCGGACTAATAGTCCCACAAATATGGGACTATTCTATCCCATGAGGGGATGTGGGATAGAAACCATGGGATTGGTATCCCATGGGATTATTTGGTGAAATGTCCATTTTACCCTCCATGCTATTACTTAGTAAACAATTAGAAAAGGTAAAATAGTCTTTTGAACATTTATAAATTATTTTTTTAGTATTGTTAATTTAAAATTATATAGTAAATAAAAAAATTAAATTATAAATTATAAATTAAATTTAATTAAAAATTATGGTCTTATAAATTAAATTTTTTTAGTGTTGTTAAATTATAAATTATAGATTACAAATTTAAAATTATATATTAAATAAAAATTATAAATTACAAGGATAAAATAGTCTTTTGAACATTTATCATTATCTAGTCCGTCTAACTAAACATTGGATTCATTAAAAATAGTCCAATTCAGACATCTAATCCCATGACTAAACAAACATAGGATACAAATCCAGTCCAACCAAATAATCCGAGGATAATATATCCCGAGACTAACAGTCCGATGAATTATAATCCCCCATTATTCAATTCGTCCAAACAAACGCACCCTAACTGTAAATTCAAAGACTTAGAAATGTGTAAAATGTGTGCAAAAGGTACGCAAAACTATCAGGACTCTGTGACTTATCATCATGAGTGGTCCTTAAGGTTACGTCTGGTTTGTGAATTTAAGTAATGATTTGAAAAGGAAAAGAGAATGTGTAAGAAAAATGTTAAGAATTATGAAAAAATTATTATGAAAATGATTATGAAAGATTTTTTATTTTTAGATTACACACACAATAAAATACCACACATTAATTAAAAAATAAAAAAATTTCATGATACATTTCATGATATTTTTTTCATGATACCTAACATTATTTAATAAAATATAATTAAGTTACACATCTTTTATATACTCTTTTTTTTTTCTTCTTTTTTAAATTTTTATCTAAATAGATAAACCAAACGCAACCTAAAATTGCATATCAGTCAAACACATGTAAAACGCCAACCCTACGTCGGTCCTGTCATTTATTGATGATGCAAACAACTCCCAACTTGCCCCAACTTGACTCCCAGTTCACACTCCATGCCGAGTTGCCGACGTCAAAACACCAAACCTACGTCGGTCCTGTCATTTATTGATGCAAACAAGTCCCAACTTGCCCCAACTTTCCTCCTAGCAAAAGTTTTGTCAACGAGTGCCTGGTAAATGATTTACAAGCAAAAATTTAAAACATAAAATTTAAACAAAATAACGCAGTGGTGATATTTTCAAAATTTCAGGTGATAATAGTGGATGTTTTGACCAAAAATGAAAAGATTATAAAAGACTAAATTATTGTGTTAAAATCTTTATATGAAAACTCTATTCTTATAGTATTATTCTCAGTAAATTTATACATAAATCACGAATATCAATTAAATTTGAATATATCACTCAAAATGAAAATAAATGAATAAAAAAAAGATATATGAATTTACAATTTGTTTAGAGAAGCGGTGGGCACGGGTCGGTTGCGGTCATAAAACCTCTAATCTGCCATCCGTCCGCCAAATTGGTAGATTAGAAAAAATCAATCTGCATCCGTCCGTCAATCCAGTGGATGTGGATTGAGCGGTTTGGCGGATGGATGCGAATCAATTTAGCGGTTTAAAATTTTATAAATTTTCAATATAATTCAACTTGTGCACTTCCTCAAAAAAATAAGAAGAAAGTATTACAGTCAATAACTTAAAAAAATATTACAATCACTGCATGTCTCATCCAAAATACGAAAGTTTGAAATTTTAGAATATCACAATCACTACATGTCTCATCCACATAAAGTATTACAATGTGGTTCTTAAAATAAAAAAATAATTCAAACCATCAAAACCATGAACAAAGCAGTAGTAGAGATTGTATGTCTCTGTGTTGTTACATCTATATCTGTTTTTGAAAACAAAAACCAACCAGCATATATTATATTTTCTATTTATTATTTTTAGAGATAGATTTAGAAACTAAAAAATATAGATAAATAATACATTTATTTTTTTCAATTCAAAAAATATATTCAAGTTGAAAATTTTTTTTCAATAAAATATTTAAACCCTTTTTTAATTGAAAACACAAACAAAATATTTAAATAAACTAAAAACACAAAGTCTTATAAATTACTAAGGGTGCTCGCGGTTTGGCGGTTCGGTTGCGGTCAAAGAAATCTCAAATCCGCCATCCGTCCGCCAGATTGACGGATCGAATAAAATCAATCCGCAACCGTCCGCTCGTCACCATGTATCCGTCCAAAATGCGACGAATCAGTTCAATTCGATCGATTTTGCCAAATCGATATATCTACTGCTCATCCCTAATTTAGAGCGTGCATGTCCTCACTCCTAAACACGGAACAATAGAGCCTATATCAATAAATGCACATAAAACTCTTTCATTTATGTTTAAAAATAAAAAGATATAAAAAATAGAATTATATTTTAACATTTTCTTTAATGCAATAGATTTTAGTCCATTTGTTTAGATTTTGTAGCATGAATATTAGAAGAAAAATTATTGAGATACCTAATTTATTACTTTTAAAAATTACTCTTAATGATGTGTTTAACAAATGTCAAATTTTGATTTATCAAACATTTCATTATGTGAGATCTAAAGGTGATTTGTCATATCATTAGAGATGGTTTAAACATGATAAATTAGGATATGTAGCATCGGTGATATTAGAATATCGAAACATCTCTACCATCTCTAGTTGTACAATCTTTTGGTTCGACCAAATAGATAAATGGACTTGAACGCTTATTTTGGGAAGTGAGGAAAAAATTAATTTATTGATTTTTTTTAAAAAAAAATGTGCAAAAAAAATAAAGAGGTAATGTGATCTAAATAAGTCAATAAATTAAATTTTTTTTTTCTAATTACCAAAATAGGCCTAAATGTTACAATGCAATTAATAGTCATGCAATGGGTCCAGCAACCTAACTAAAAACAGAAACATGATTTACAAAACAAAACAATTCATACAATAAGTCCAAAATATGGCACCAAACATTCTTCAAAGGTTGACGAACCGTTTTGCAATTTGATTTGCATTTGATCCTTTTATTTTATACCCTCATGACCTCAACTAATATTAATTACCATGTTGTTGAGGTACATTAGGGGAAGCTTGAGCAATTCTAAACTTCTCTCAAATTTAGATTTTAAATTTGAAAAAATTTGAACATATATAATAATCTATTTAGTTGGATCCTCAATTTATATCATTTATGAAAAAATTTATATCAATTCAATAATCACAAATCTTTATTTTATCTCATTTGTCTTCAAAAAATTAAATAATTTGTAACTTAGATAAAATTTATTTTTACGCATATTTATTTCTACCTCTTTTTATATTTGAGTGAATTTATTTTTCGTTCATATATTTATTTCTCATGAATTGTGAATCACATCATTCCCATCTGCCTCTCTTTTTTTTTCCCCACGGAACAGGGGTAGCTGCTGTGCTCAAAGCACAGCAGTGACTGTGGTATTTTTATTTGAGGTGTATTATGGTCTTGTTTTTATGATCTAAACCGTTTATATTGTAGGGTTTGTTGAGTACTTCATGTTTACCAAAAATCATATTAATCGGATATCAATAACTATATGATCGAATTACATATTTTTTATGCTATTTCTTAAAAGAAAAACTTATTATTTATTTTTTTAATTATTGATCATATAATTATTAATATCCGATTAAGATGATTTTTGATAAATATAAAGTACTCAACAAATCTTATAAAATAAACAATTTAAATAATAAAAATAAGATCATAATATAATTCAAACGGGACACCACAACCACTGCTGTGCTTTAAGCTCAGCAGTGACCCCTTTTCCCCTCTCTCTGCTTTCCACCCCTCTCTCCCTCACCGTTATGATTTCCTAACCATGTAGCATTCAAGTCTTTTTTTTCTTTTATTTTGGGAACAGTGTAGCATTCAAGTCTTTGACCAATAAAAAACTCTCTTTTTTTTTCTCCTTTTAGGTATTTTATGGTGTGTATGGCAATAGGAAAGATTTTGCCTCCAAACAAAAAGCATTTTTTGTACGAGTTACAAACAAACAAATCTTGTAAATTCTTTACTAACTAATATAACATTTATTCTATTAGTGAAATAAGTTATGTTTTAAATTTTAAAATTTTCTTTATCATATGATAGACTAGTTAGTTAAAAAAAAAATGTGAAATTTACTAATTTATAGTAATTATCATTTTGTATTTGAGTCGGTGTATGTTTATATTTAGATTTAACAAGTGGTTGAATGTCACTAGCACCTAAGTACTCCAATTTGTACATACACTGTTGTCATCACTACTTATATTTATATCTAATTTTATTACATAATATAACTCAAACGGGACACCACAACCACTGCTGTGCTTTAAGCTCAGCAGTGACCCCTTTTCCCCTCTCTCTGCTTTCCACCCCTCTCTCCCTCACCGTTATGATTTCCTAACCATGTAGCATTCAAGTCTTTTTTTTCTTTTATTTTGGGAACAGTGTAGCATTCAAGTCTTTGACCAATAAAAAACTCTCTTTTTTTTTCTCCTTTTAGGTATTTTATGGTGTGTATGGCAATAGGAAAGATTTTGCCTCCAAACAAAAAGCATTTTTTGTACGAGTTACAAACAAACAAATCTTGTAAATTCTTTACTAACTAATATAACATTTATTCTATTAGTGAAATAAGTTATGTTTTAAATTTTAAAATTTTCTTTATCATATGATAGACTAGTTAGTTAAAAAAAAAATGTGAAATTTACTAATTTATAGTAATTATCATTTTGTATTTGAGTCGGTGTATGTTTATATTTAGATTTAACAAGTGGTTGAATGTCACTAGCACCTAAGTACTCCAATTTGTACATACACTGTTGTCATCACTACTTATATTTATATCTAATTTTATTATATAGGGGTCTTTTGAGAAGTGGGTTATAATCCACTTCTCAGATTATAATTCACATCCCTCTCTTACAAAAAGTTGATTATAATCATTTTTTCAAAATAGTCCATCATACTAAATATTTTAGTTAAAAAGTCATTATAATTTGTTATATTACTCTTTATTTTTTTGTATATTTTTTCGTAAAAAATCAAAAAATTACTAAAATAACATATTTGCAAATGAAGCCTAAATATACAATTCACCCCTAATTCATATATAGAGACACAGAAACATTTAAAACTATAATAGATAAATAAAATTTATCTTACATATGACTCATAATAGATTAATTTTAGGGCAAATTATATTTTGTATTTTTTATGTTGGGTCATTTTCTCACTTTTACTCTTAAAGTTTATTTTTTTCTCATTTTAACCTTTCATCTTTCAAGTTTTTTTCAATTTATTTATTTATAAGGCTAATTTATTATGTTCAAAATTATACAAAAAATGACACATTAATAGTCACATAACAAAAAAATATTTTATTATATATAATTCACACTTCTATCACAAATCTAAATCCTAATAAAATATTATAATTTTTTATATTATGCGACAGTGACATTTTCTATTTTATTTTGAATAGAAATTAATTTTTTTAAAATTAAAATATAAAGAGCCCAAAAAAAAAAAACTTCAAAAACCAAACTCAAAAAATGACCAAATATAAAAATTCAAAATATATGTATATTTTTTATCTTTTTTAGATTAGATCACTTTTTTACACATCATTTTATAAAAAATTAAAAAATTACGAAAATAATTTATTCTTAAAAAGCCCTTACATCATCCACATCCACTTCTCTTAATGTTGGATTTTGATAGTTTGTTTTAGTTTCATAATTTACTTTTCAAAAAAAAATTACTTTTTAATTTTTTATATTTTTTTCATTTTTCGTATTATTTTTTTTCATTGAATTTTTTTAATATTTTAAGTAATTTTTTTAAAATTTTTAGACACACCTAATATAAATACATTTAAAAAATATAATATTTATAAAAAAATCTTTAAAAAATTTACTAAATACCAAAAATATAAAATATATATAAATTCAATCTATTTTTCATAGTTTTATGTATTTATTAATTTTTTAAAATATTTATTTACAAATATTTTAGGACAAATTACACTTAATAGTCCCTATAGTTTAGGGTTTGTGTTACTTTAATCCCTGACTTTTCAATTGTGACACATTTGACCCTGAATTTTGAATCTTGTTTCAAATAAGGACAATTGAACATACTCTTGCTTAATTTCAAGGGCAAAATCGTTAATTTGATAAAATATAAACTAATTTGACAAAAATAAATGTCAAAAAAATATTTAAAAAATTTTAAAATTTATTTCTACTCACTAAAAATAAAATTATATAAAATTGATAAAAATTAATAAAAATTACATGATTAATTTTTAAAAATTAATTTTACATGATTATCATCCAAATACATGATAAAAAATAATTTGGTAAAAAAAAAATAAATGTCTAAAAGATTTTTTGATTTTATATAATTTTATCTTTAGTAGGTAAAAATAATTTTTTGACATTTATTTTTGTCAAATTAATTTATATTTTATCAAATTAACGATTTTGCCCTTGAAAAATTCAATAGTATCTTTTATTGTCCTTATTTAGAACAAAATTCAAAATTTAAGCTCAAATGTGTCACAATTAAAAAATCAGGGACCAAAATGACAAAAGCTTCCAACTATAGAGACCATTAATGTAATTCACCCAATATTTTACTATTTAGATACATTTAAATAAGGTACATATAAAAAATAAAAAAAAATTACTTAAAACTTTAATAGTATTTACTAAAAATAAAAAAAATCAAAAAATAAATAATTTAATTTTCAAAAAACAAACCAACACGATATATAATTGGAATCCAAAATCTGTACATACATTCGTGAACCTCTGTAATTCTTTTCTTCACAACAAAACAGTCAATCCCTTATTTCTGCCACCAAACAGTCAATCCCTTCCCAACAAACACTCTCACCAGTGAGCCTCTGTAATTCTTTTCTTCATCCCTAAGCTTTCCCCTTTCTCTTCCTCCTTCGTCGATTCTCTCCCCTTTTCCTTCCTTTCTCTCTCTAGTCTGTACATACATTATATATACGTACACATATATTGGATCTCAAAAATCATCGACAACCCCCCCAAAAAAAAAAAAAAACCCAAACATGGCAGTAGACGGAGAGATCTTAATCCTCCCATTCTTTGGGCAAGGCCACCTCTTCCCGTGCATAGAGCTCTGCAAACACCTCTCCTCTCGAAATTACCAAACTACCCTCATTATTTCCTCAAATCTCTCCTCCTCCATCCCCTCCTCCATCCGCCACCACCCTCTCGTAGAAATCGCCGAAATCACCGCTCCGCTGCTGCTGCCGCCTGAGGCTGCCGGAGGATCCGGGTCTGAACCCGGACCCGGACACAACCCCTTCTACCGCCTTCACCAGCAATTGGGTTTGGCCCTTGAGTCCTTCCTCTCTTCCAGAATTAACAATCCGACCCGACCCGTATGTGCTGTGATTGATGTGATGATGAGCTGGAGCAAAGAGTTCCTCGCCAAGTTTGGTATTCCCACGGCGGCGTTCTTCACCTCCGGCGCCGCATCCGCCGCCATGGAGTACGCGTCGTGGAAAGCCAACGTCGCCAATATGAAGCCCGGTGAGGTTCGGATCATTCCCGGGATACCCGAAGACATGGGCTTGACTTATTCTGATATTAACCGACGGTCTCACAGGCCTCCACATATGGGTGGTCCCCCAGGTGGACTGGACGGTCCACCCGGTTTACATGGACCGCCAGGTGGACCACCCAATTTACATGGATCACCAGATGGGCCGCAACTTGGTCCACCGCAACCGGGTCATCGGCCACCGTGGGTGGATGAAGTAGACGACTCGATCGCGTTGTTGATCAACACGTGTGACGATCTGGAGCGTCCGTTCATTCAATATGTAGCGAATCAGATTGGAAAACCGGTCTACGGTGTGGGCCCACTATTGCCGGAACAGTACTGGAATTCAGCCGGTTCAGTTATTCACGACCGGGTCATCCGGCCCAAACGACAATCCAATTACACGGAAGACGAAGTGATCCAATGGTTGGATTCAAAGCCGCGTGGATCTGTGATATACGTGTCGTTCGGGAGTGAAGTTGGGCCCACTTTAGAGGAATATGCTCAACTAGCTAATGCTTTAGGAGAGTCAAACCGGCCATTTATATGGGTGATTCAACCCGATTCGGGTAGGCACGGTCCGCCTCGTGCTTTCTTGGGTGATAAACCCGGTTCAGATACTGCAGAAGAAGAAGGCTACTATCCTCATGGGTTGGATAGCAAAGTAGGTGATAGGGGTTTGATAATACGCGGATGGGCACCTCAGCTGATGATATTGAGCCACCCATCAACGGGTGGATTTTTGTCGCATTGTGGGTGGAATTCGACTGTGGAGGCAATTGGGCGTGGGGTGCCCATTTTGGCATGGCCGATTAGGGGTGACCAATTTTACGATGCGAAGCTGGTGGTGTGCCACCTCAAAGTAGGGTACATGGTATCAAATGGTGACCTATCGGAAATTGTGAAGGAAGACATAGTGCAAGGGATTGAGAGGTTGATGGCTGATGAAGAGGTTCACAAGCGAGCGGCGGCATTAGGTGGCAAGTTTGAGGGCGGTTTTCCGGCGAGTGCGGGGGCTAGTTTGGATGCTTTTAGGGATTTTATTAGCCAAAAATCACCTTGAATATTATACCAAAAAAACAAAAACAAAAACAAAAACAAAAATAAAAATAAAAATGTTGAATGGTTTTTTTTATAGGAGCAATTATAGCGTTTTCCCTCTCGTAATTGGACTATTACTTTCATAATTTGTGTGACAGGCTTCTTTTGCATATGTTTCGTGCTTCAGTTATGAATGAGTACTTTGTGTAATCCAAACTTGCATTTTTATTTTTTTGCATATGTTGTCATTGTTTTTGTTTCCATTTTTTTATTTTTTTGTTTTTTTTTTTGAGGGGTCTAACCACCCAAACTAGCAATGCCTTTTGAAATGTTACTCACATGGATGTGAATGAATGATTAAAAATTTAACTACTTATCAATTTTACTCTCTTCAATACTTGATTTTTAGTATTGGTTTGATAACTTAATTTTTTGATTAAAAATCATTAAAAAGTAAATAAAGCATAGAAGTTGTTCAAATTTTTATACAATTAAAAAATCATTTTCAAACACAACAACCTTTTTCAATTTCTTAAATTCACTATGTTAGTTTATTATTGTTGTATATTCCATTGTTAGTTTATTATTGTATATTCTAGTGTTAGTCATAATGATGTTCCCCATTTGTGTTTCTTCTTTCGGTGCTATTAAGGCACCCTATGTAGCTTTCCCTCTCTATAAAAGAGAGTGTAAATCATCTTGTAAATCAATACAATAACAGAATATTTCAGTAGCTCTTTCTCTCTCTCTCAATCCTCTATCACTCTCTCAAATTATTCTTTCACACTAAACAAATAAAATTCCAAACCATTCCTTAACGATAAAATATGGTTTAAAATCTCTCCATTACTATGAATGAAAAGGGTGCATCGTATTTCTCTTTAATGTAGATGCGCCTTTTTAATATGGCACCCATCACACCCAAGAGAACAAGGTGGTGACGTCATCCATGATGTCAACTTCAACTTTTAAATTTTTTTTATAAGAGAATTTATTAAATAATCTTATTTTAAATACTTGTATTTCAATTAGTCTATAACATATTATTGTATTTCAATAAGTCCTATTATTTTAGACATTTGATCCACCAAATCTTAATTCTCATTATTTTATAAACAATTTTATCTTCATAAATATTTTTTGAACTCTTAGTAACTTGATAATATGAACATGCACATTAAGTAAATTTGACAGTATGTATGTTCACATTAATATTGAATATTTACATTGTCAATGTAAATATTAATGTGTTTCACCCTTATTAATGTTAGGGATATTTTTATAACTATGTCACTTATTTTAAGTAGATTATTAACATAAAAAATTAAGTTGATCTAATATCGATACAATATGATGGATAAATTACATTGGTGGTTCTTTCATTTTACTCCTTGTATTATTTTAATCCATATACCTTCAATTGGTTCAATTTTGACTTTTAATTTTAAATTTTGTGTCAATTTAGTCTAATTAATATTGTTAGTGCTTTTTAAGAAAAATTATAACTAACTTATTTTCACCAAGGATCCTCTAGAGTATTTTTTTCCTAAAATTTTCTAAAGTGGTGTATTGTGTGGTTGAGATTTAATGTTGAAAAATTGATGTGACTTGTCATTCAATCTCAACTACACAATGCACTACTCTAGGAAACTTTAGAAAAAAAAACTTTAGAGGATTGTTGCTCACTTATTTTAGGCTAACTCCCTAGGTTTAGTAAGTTTATAACTTTATCCTTTAAAATATAACACATGATACTTACATACATATTTTTTATATTAAAAAAAAAACTAAGAATTGTAATCAATTGAATCAATTTGAGACAAAATCATAAATTCATGATCAATATAGAGGGGTGTTTTGAGAAGTGGGTTATAATCCACTTCCTAGATTATAACCCACTTTCCTCTCTCACAAAAAACTGATTATAACCATTTTCCCAAAATAGCGGAGAGCCAATTGAAATTACAGAAATCAAAACGACATAATGATCAAAGTATATGGACTACTGTCATAATTTACCGTAATATAAATAGATCTTATTTTAAAAAATAATTATGATCATTATAATAGATAATTTATTTTTAAAATTATATTTATTATCTATTTTTGTAAAACAAAATTTTGCCAATCATATAACTATCAAAGTGCAATTAACTTTTTTTGCATAAATAACCTCTTTAACATATAATACAAAATTATTAAAATTTATTTATAATAAAAAAAACTCTGATATAAAAGTGTATTTTCAAAATCCAAATAATATGTAAAACAATATGTAAAATTTAACTTTTAAATTAAAATAATCCTACTAGACTTGAAAATAGGCCACTCATCTGGCAAGTAGGGCCGCAATCCCCAGGGTATGCGGGGATGTGATGCTTCGGTGTGGAGGTTTTTTTTTTCAGTTCCGATTCGTAACTCGAATTTGGAGGCCCGAATTTGGCTCGAATTCGAAGAAGAAGAAGAAGAAGAAGAAGAAGAAGAGAAGAAGGAAGAAGAAGGAGAAGAAGAAGTAGGTTGGAGGGGGCAACAAAATTAGGTGGATGCGGAGGCGGAGGTGGAGGTGGAGGCGGAGGCGGCGGCGAGCGGAGGCAGAGGCGGAGGCGGAGCTACGATGCGACGATCGGCCGGCAAGCGACGAGCTGCGACGACGACTCTGTTTCTCTCTCGCCTCTGCTCTTCTCCTGTGTTCAACGAAGAAGAAGAAAAGAAAGAAAGAAAAGGCAGAGAAAAAAAAAATTTCGAAACCCAAAACGACGTCGTTTTGGGTTTCAAGCCAAATTCGGGCCACCGAATTCGAGCTACGAGTCATTTTTCTTTTTTTTTTTAGTCTTATTCAATAATCTACACTGTTCATATTATAAAAGTCGTCGAGTATATTATTCATATAAAAAAATCAAGTTAATTAAAAATTCATAATCCTCTGATCATATTTAAATAATTTTATAAAAATTATCAAGATATTGTTAACCGTTTTATTTTTTAAAAAATAAATGTGTTCTTATTATAAAATTATAGATTTCTAATTTATTTAATTTTTTTTATATGAATGATATATTCAATGAATCCTATAATTAAACGACTTAAATTATGAAAAAAAACTTAGAAATAGCCTCCACCGAGGCACCACATATCGCTATTGTGACTTGGTCACAACAACATCACTTACTCCATCACGAGTAGGCCCATAAACGAGTCGAATTGAGCCGAGCCGAGCTGAGTTTTAGTATGTTTGGACTTATTTATTAAAATTTTAAAGAACTCGAGCTCAAACTTAATAAAAATTTAACGAACCGAGCTTAAACCGAATTGGTTTAGGCTTAACTCGAGTTCGAGTCTGTTCATGAGTTTTAACAAGTTAGAAAATTTATAAATTTATACTTGCATATGAGATTAAATTACAATTAAAACTTTGATTATACAATTATAAATACAATATATATAAATATTCTTTAAAAAAAAGTCAATATTTTACCAAAATAATAATATCTGCAACGTCCCGAATAATTGCTATAAATCATCAATGATATTAATTACATAACAACACATGATGAAATAATTCTCTTTCATTTATCCCAATCACTTGTACAAAATGTGATATATGCAAGTATAAATTCATAAGTCTAACTCTGAATCCATAGCATGTGTGCGATAAAAGACAAGATAAGAAAGTAAAACAGATAAATAAATGTCCTACAATCTTACAACTTTCCAAGATAGTTCTTGGTTACAACAAAAGTGAGATTAAATCCAATACAGGTAAAACCCTTGGCTTGTACAAAAACAAATATAGTAAATCCATCTCGCTTCAGGTTCTCCTAAGCTATTGCCTTGGCGGAGGCATATCATCATCACCTGAAATATTTTTCCCACATAAGGTGAGCCAAAGTCTAGTAGAAATAATCCGGCACAATATATGAATCTTAACAAAGTTATAAGGTATACACATGTGCAATTCTAGTGTCAAAACATTTTATCTCTTTCCAAAAACCTTGCAATGCCAAATGAATACCATAGTTCATAAAACATTCTCTTTTCAAGGGGAAATAAGGCAGTGAATCATATTCCTGGAAATCTCTAAAATAGTTTCACATTTTACAGAAATTTCGTCCGCGGGAAACCATAAACCGGCACCCATGTAAACGTGTAATGACCCTCACACTATCCTAACCATACTCATATGCATTCATGTGATTCTGTCTTGTTAAGCTTGCATTTCAAGTCTTGTCCGTGTTCATTTAAGTGTTATAGCATGCTTTGTACCTTGCTCGGTATGGGTTTAGCCGAGGTCACCCTGAGCCTAGGTTAGTCTTGAACTTCTTGCATCTAAGACCATCTTGGAAGTTACCTTGTTTGGCCTCCACTTTCGCCCTGACATATTGGCCGAGATGTCATTATCAAGGCCGAGGTGTTCATTACCATGGCTGAGATTTGTGTTATCTAGGCCGAGATGTTACCTTTGCACCTAAGTGATCTTGTCCTGGAGTGGTATGACCTAGACCGAGGTGTGGCACATCTAGGCCAAGGTGTGGCACAGCATAGTCCAGTGTTGTCCTTCTTAGCCAAGATCATTACTTGCCGGAGTGCCTATGCCATCTTGCTTGTAGAACACACTTTGTCATAGTCTTGTCTTTTCGCTCAGTCACTTTTTGAGTAGAACCAACCAGCCACTGCCACATGCCCCTGCAGAGGGTTAAGTCAGCCGACAGACCCAGAAAATATACATTTTTGTATTACATCTTTGCCTTGTAGAGAGAGGCTCTAGGAAGAAAAAGAAGTCTTAGAGTGAGAAAGTAGGCTTTCGAGCTTGATTTCTAGAGATCAAACCGTTAGATTCGTGTATTGAGGTTAGATTCTTGATTCACTCTTGTTGTTCTTATTGATCATCCAGCTGCATTGCACGATCGAACCTGTTTTGCACGTCATGCATTGATTTAAAGTTGGTTTTAGAAAGAGAAAATAATGCTCATGTGTTTTTGAAGAAAAAGTCTTGTTTGATCCGAAAGTTCGCATTAAGATTCATGTTTTTGTGTTTGTTCTCACAAGATCCTTGAATATGGGTACCCAGGTCCATGTTTTGAGTTCATAGCATGAAATCTCAGATTTTTATAATAGCAAATCATGATCTTTGCATTCATCTTCCTCATGTCCATGTTCTTCATGTTCGTCATGTTCTTCAAGAGAGGGAAACCCAGATTTTTTTCGACTTCATTTCCTTGAATGTGGCCATCGAGGC